TTTTGCTTACTCCTACTTTTTGCAAACAATTAGTGATTTATGTTGTATTGAAACTCAAGAGAGAGGTTTCATCATCATTACAAGAGAGTATTTTGCACAGATACTACTACATATTTTATCTTTTCTCCTCCTTCATCTCGCAAAAAAATCTCCATCAATGCTCTAATAAACTTTTTTTGGAAAAAAATTAAAATTTGCAAATATAAAAATACACATTTATGATCTATTATCAATTGTTTCAAAAAATAAAAGATTCACAAACAAAAAAATTCACACCAATACTCTACAAAAACACACAAATTACACGACGTTTGTGATCATACATTATCAGGCTACATTCACATGTTTAAAAAGATTTTATTGAAATCTAAACAATGTTCAATACGAGGTATGACTCGCGCTGAACATTGTGTGTGTATATGTATGTATATATATATATATATATATTAGAATTAAATTTATATAATATGACAAGCTATGACTTTCCATATCATACATATTGGATAGCAAAAATGTTGAACCTAACCTTAATTATAATTAGATTTAACCTCTAATTTGGTTAATAGTAACAAACATAAATTAAAAAAATTATATGATCTTTATTCTATCTGATTAGTTTGAATATGATCAAGTAAACTTATTAGTTATCGTCATATACTTACTACAACTGTTACAGTTTCAATCAACGTTCATCACAAATCAAAATATTGATATTTGTTGTCATCTTACAAATATGCAATATATTCTATTTCTACAAGTTCAAAATAATCACGAAATGACCTGAAATCTATGGTGCGCATAGAAGATGTGTCCACTGACGAACATTGTTGTCATTGTCATTAAAACCATAATTCAAGCACATTAAAATGAAAAATTCATGCACATAAGTATAAATCGCATTGTACTCCTAGCTAGCGATTCGATCTGACTAATTCTAATTAGCCTAAACTAAATTCAAAACGAATTATCCAAGGAAAAAATAAATTCAATTTGCAACTAATTACATCTATGACTAAATCACTGTTGAATAGGAATAGGTTTCATTGATCGAGTCAAACATTGACATGTGTCAACCTCGTGAGCTGCTCTCACAAATCAACATTTTGGCCGCTCCGCTAGCCAACCCTTGAAGCAAACATTTCAACTCTATAAGCACTGCTGCTATACTTGCGTCAACCGTGTGTCATTTGGATGTAGGCATGGTGCACATGTGCGTCCATGATTAGTTCACATCACATTCCATTCCAAAACTCAAAAACATATCTACTAGAAGATGTATATAATAATCTAGTCATATCCAAGGTAAGAGCAGTTCAATGTTAGTATAATAAATCATTAGAAGCAAATCTTAAGATCATAAATCATTAAAAACAAATCTTCAGACCGAAGATCTATAGCCTCCTTCATGGATGATTGCATTTCTAAATTTATCACAATGGTGAGCAATAGCCAAGTTCAGTAATGCCATGGGTATAACCCTGTGGAACAATGTTGTCCTAGCATAACAAACTTGAATCCACACATCTGGATTGTTAAACTGCACTACCTCTCTAATCTTTCTTAGGAGTTAATTCCAACTCTCTATCAAACAACAGCATGTATGATGAAAAAAAGACCAACTTATCAGATAATCCGTGATCATTCAATTTAGTTGCATCAGAATTTTAGTATATTTGTATTTGAGTTTTTTGTTACATTGGATATGTACTACTAGAGCAAATTTTTACTATTCTTTACCTGATACCAAATACGTCTATTTCTTAAAAATATAAAACTTAGCATATATCTTGATGAAATTGTGTTAGATGTAGGATGTGATTCGCTGTCTAATATCACTTCACTATTATAATCATATTTTTCAAATGATAAAAAACACTTTGCTATTATCATATTTATCATTTAATTGTTGCATAAATTTGAAAACTTATCAAAGTTGAAAGAACTTCTAAATACTTTTACAGGTGTATGTTACAAATATCTATCAAACAATTGCATTACATCTACAACACACATCAACCATCTCATATACTACATATGATATATGGGATGAGATTATATCGCTTAAGATGATGCTCAATCAATGATTAAAGATAAAATAACTCCACATTTATTATTAGATTTGTTTTTATGAGATTTATATCTATTTATGAAATTAATTGATACCATGAACATATTTATTTATATAATAATTTAAATTTATGCATATAAGCATTTATAAAGCTGGTTGTTAGCATAAGCAACATTTTTATATAATTTATTTAGGCTTTTTAATTTTATATATAGGGAATTTTAAAATCAACAATTGAGTCCAAGAACAAAAACAAGCAAAAAAGTAGACACAAGAATTATATAATTAACCCATGTGAGTTTACTTCCAAGAAACACATTGAAATACTTACTGAAAATATTATATGTGTTGTTAGTACTCTTATCCATCAATGATGTTCATAGTCAAACTCGTCAAAGTTAACCAAGACAAGAAATAACACTTAACAGATATTATGTGTATTATATTTATTATTAAGAATATTATTTCATACGTTCAAAATTATTTATTTTTACATAGATTTATATTTGCAATAAAATATGAAGTCAATCTATTTCATTTGTGTTCATTTGTTTCATAATATAGTTCTTTCTTTTTAGTTTAATAATACCTTAGATTTATTAGTCAACCAATAAACAAGTCTTTTCATGATTAAAAACAAAATTTAATATCTGGATATTCAAGTATTATTGGTTGGTTATTTTAATTTATGAAATAGAGTAAATTTTGGATGTCTTTTAACAATTAGCTAGAATAATACTATGATGAGTGTCATTCTTATATATTGATTGCATTTTATAATATATTACAAAGTCGTCAGGATTTTGTAATATGTAAAGCAGAACAAACTAGTTAAGAATTTACTTTATGTTTGTTTATCAAATAAATCTAATCAATTTTTTAAAATTATTTGTAACATGCATATGTGATAAAGTAGTAAAATAAAATGAAGTGTCCTATTCAAAGAAAGAGGGTCACAATGATTAAAAAAACGATCAAAACATTGCATAAAGTGTAAAGAATACTGATCGGAGTTTGAAATTTGATGATGTATTTAGCAAAGTGCAATGGTTGAAGTGTTTTTATTAGGTGTGTCTTTGTAATTAGATAAGAAATCAATCTTGAATTAAAAAACATATATTGAAATTTTGAACGCACGCGAGTTCAAAAGTTTGTGACTATTTTAACATCTTGAGGTGTCAATGTAGATCATAACCAATCATAAATAGTGCCTCATTTCAATCTAAACAACCTATGTTTAGTATTACGTAGAATTACTATAGATGTTACGGTACTAAGTATTTTGCCATGGTCAAATACTTCCCAATTCTAAAAGCTTGTTGTGAAAGTATATTTGGATACGTAATGTGATAAAAAACTTCAACTGTTGTATATGTGATAATTGGATAAGATCTTCAAGTTTTTCTGGATCAAAATAATTCTCTAGAATAAATGTATCAGTGTACTCAGTTTATACTATCCTATATTCTTCTTAACGTATATTTGGTTAAGATATTGATTTTTTTTTCTCGAAGCATTGCATTAGGTTGAGGATGTAGAATTTCAATTTCGATGCTGAGTCATGATGATGTAGAACTCTGCTGTATTTTAGGAGTTGAATTAAATGTCTAAATCTTCTTGCTGTCACATTTTTTGGCATGTTCATTGCAAGTTATGAAATGCTTGGGGTTTTGTTTCACATATTATCACCTCTTTGAGCCATGTTGGATGTTTTCACAGACTTCCTGTCCACAATTTCTGCGGTAAAGCTGAGATATACACTTGCCTTCCCCATGCGAAAGTATCTTCCTCATAATAAACTGGCGATGCAACCTTCGTTCACGCCTTTCTGCATTTCCTTCTGATTTACACAATTCCACAATTCCATCTGCTTTTTCAGCAAGAGCGAAGTAAACGTGAGGGATAGTCGGATACTTAAGATTGTCAAGGGACATGAATACCTGACTGGCCGCCGATTAGTCTCTAATAACCACCCTTAGAAGCTTAGATGATAATGAACTATCAACAATTCTTATCACTTTCCTGCACACTGAGTGTTCATTATTTTGTCGGTGTTGACTTACATTCGTATGCAGAAGACAGCATACTCGAGGTAGTCATTATAGGTTCTTGTACGGAGCACTTACACATACTTAGGAGCGGACTGCCAAGGTATCTACGTGTATTATATTTAAGTGTTTTTCGACGACACCTGCAAAGCAAAGGGCATAGGAAGGTAATGGTTTTCGTACAATGTTGTAGGTTCAGGTCATTCAATCACATTCTCCAGAAGAACATTTACTCGGGCACACTTTCACATCGGAAACCATAACGTTGGAAAATTGTGATACACTGGGTACCACGAATCACGTACAGTCGATAGTAGACAACAGTACCTGATATGAAAAATAGCAAAACGATAATTGCCCCAAAATGAAATTAGAGATGAATTTGCTTATAACTTTTTGAAGAACTGCTATTTCAGGGCTATCTGATTGCAGTAGTGAGCCCTATTTATAACTGGGTAGCTTGAACACATGTAAAAACATGTCCAAAATTTCTAGTGTCAAACATGTGAGATGAAATGGCTCATTGGTTGCGGATCTTAAAGGACTGTATAATTTTGATATTCAGGTGACCACAAATACGAGCAAAACACGTAAAGAAAGAAGGCCCCCAATTGATATGATACTTCCCTATATAAACTCAACGTGAAGTGATATGGTGTTAATTAGCCAGCTTAGACCTCCCGAACTATGAGATAATTACACAAAGCGAGTCTTGAAAGAGGCAAGTCACCTCTAATCCTCATTCAATCTCCAGACTTATTTGCACACGTTGCTCCTATAGTGGATATTTCTCCATCTCGTACTATTTCAATGCATCTGGTAGAGCTGATGCAGGACGAGATCCCAGTACCAAACTGAAATCTAAAAGGTGTCACATAACTATTGCAGCTCGAAATCATGTCTCATTTTATCTGAGGCAGAAATGATCGCCAATTAAAAAGAGAACATCTAGTCACATTCACTCAAAACACCAAATAGGTCCTTAGAAGATGCTTCTTCCAATATGATGATACTCTCAGCGACGTTGTTGTCTAAATCATCAAGACAAAAGTGGCTGAGACTCCCAATATATACCGTAGTCATTGTGCGGTGTCGTGCTTATTTATAAAACAAGTTATCATGCAACGAATGATGCTGTACTCCACTTCTAAAATATTTTTTGTTTACAACAATAAACAAAACATTGAGATGGCTGAATGACTCTGACTACGTTGGATTAGATCACACTACAACTGCAACTTCTTGAGGCCTACGTGTCAAATTTTACCTCTGCTTGAAACCGCGTGTCGGAGAATACCTCAGATATTAAAACTCGTTACCTTGAATTTGGTAATACACAAAATTTGCAGAGAACTCACTGCAAACCATGTCCACATTTACGCATTGATAGAATTCATGAAGACTGCGTCAATGCTTGCGCCAACTTCCAGCAAAGCAGCGGTGAGTTTGGGCACCAACTTTTTCAGCATGAGCTTGAAACCTGCGGAACTCTTATCTTCAGAGTAGCTCTCAGCAGCACATTCCAAGTCTGACTCGATCAAAGATCCCACCTCAGCACCGGCTAAGTAGGCCTTGCATGACTGGATAATTCTATTTCCACGCTGTCGAAAATGCTCTCCTATCAACTCTTCGAAGTGCTGCATGTCAACGAATAATTCACCACAATAATGTACACGATTTCAATCGCTAATCAGGTTCCGTATCTTGCTGAGCGCAAAACTTCTTCAAATGAGATGCCTAGTAATCGACTGAAGGTACCAGAAGATGGCAGCCAAAATAACGAGGGCTAAACTCATCTACAAAATCCTATGTGAACCGGAATCTGTACAGTTTCTAAAGACAACCTAATTAACAGGTGAACCACCGATACGTTATAGCACACAAGGGGACCAAAGAGTACAGACTGGAGTACAACTACATGGGCTCTAGTTATGTCATAACTCGATACACTGTAACTGAAAGCAATAAAGTTAAGAACAGAAGCACATGTGCATCCTCAGTTATATACGAAGACTACATTTTCTTCCGGCTGTCGGTAGCTTTGGGTTCCAGTGAGTAGAAAGTCAATTTTAACAGTGGTCTCTACCTCATAGAATGAATGACTGCGGTCACATCACGGTGATTAAGAGTGTGTACGACTCATCTCTCAACTCACTAAATAGGCATGGCGAGATCCAACTAATTTCCCAACATACTTCCTGATCCCATTTTCGTCTATTTTATCCCGTTAACCTCATCCAGCTCTACATATTCTGGATACACTTTTCTGGACAACCAAAACCAAATGGTATACGTACGAAAAGACAAGATTCACAAGCCGCTTTCTGTCAACATGGCATACTGGGAAAGCAATAGAATTTTTCTCCTTTTCACCAAGCAGAGATGTCCAGGCGTTCTACATATTCCATAGGCTTAAACAAGAACACAACAGATAAAGTAGCTGCTCTGAAACGATTCCACTCACGATGATAGTTCACAACTCATAAGCCTTCATACCATATATATATAAAACAGTCGAAAATCCACAAAACTTAGCGAACTCGTAATCTCTAGTGCCAGACCTATGATGGAAGCAGTCCAAGTATGTAGACAGAATAAAAAGGGGAAAAATTTCAGACACCAACACTAAACAACGCTATACTTCACCATTCCGTATCAAGCTTATGCAAACTTTTGGTGATGTTCAATTCTAGTTCACAGTATTGCTACCAATCGACTCGAACCGATCATGGTAAGGCATACAGAACACGGTATATATCGTGTTCTCTAAGCCGTACCATTGTCAATTCTCTAAGATTGCAAGTCGAGGGGAAGTGGTGCATCGGGTGACTCCCCCTCCGACTACGGCTAAACAGGTGTCTGAATTCTAGTGAGTGAGCAACTGACAAGAAACGTCTTTAACTTTCGTCGACGTCACATCTTCCAAAAGAAGATATTTTCCGTATTGCGGCAAACAGGAAACGCCGATGCGAGACCGGAACTCTTCGATTTGCATATAATCATACAGAATACATACCATAAGAAACCAATTCAAATGAATAAGTGCAAAGTCGATCCCTGTCCAACAGCTCAAGTTATCAACCTAGAGACAAGAAAACACAACTTACCCTGGGTGGTCGTCGAAGAAGGTAAAGCATTGACTTGCATGAAAGCAGGAAAGAGTTTTCATTGTACACAACAGAATTCTTTTCTCCCTCTCCTGTGCCAACTTGTCGGTCATAACCAGCTTCGTTGAAGTATGGTTTGGCATTAAGAACCAAACCCTGTATAGAGACCAATAGCTGTAAGATACTCGACGTTGACGGATGCCAAATCTCCGAACCTTTGCCGGTCCAAGTATTTAGAAGGCTAAGACAAACTTTCCCATTCTCATACAAATTTGGATTCAGTCGTAGCCCACCGGAATGATAATGTGCAACCTGCCAACACAAGATTACAGTCGTGAGCTGTCATGAAGTTTGCAATCGCTGGTTATCTGGCTCATCATCAATATATACGAAGGGCAGCAAGGCCAGAATGCAGGCACGAAGACATAAACCTGTGGAGATCCAGAGTGTCAAGTTGAGAAATCACAAGCTCCAATGTATGCAGCAAGTCTCAAAATTAATTTATCTTGCTTTGTAACAAGCTTGAAACTTACCGGTGGAACACTTGGATATTCCGGAGGCAGATAGAGATCAAAGACAAATAGCCCATCGTGATATGGAGTTCCTGCTGCTCCTACAATTACTGCTCGTATCAAATCCATCCTGTCTTCATAAACTCTTACATAAATGGTATCTGCAAACAAGAAACAGTAAGTAGCGATACTACTGAGACGAATTCGCTCTCAGATACTCCTCAATACACTTCGTGTACATATGCTAGTTTACAGCCCAATAGAAAGATCGAGCCAAGATTTCTCTATACTCTCAGACCCAGAGGGCTTGCATACATCATTATATAGATCCGTATTGGAGGAGTACTTCTGGTGCAAGATATCCGCAAAGGAAGTCTAAAATATACCCATATTTTCTGCATAGGTGGAACACTCTTCAGGAGGAGAAAATGTTCGTCCAGTGATGTGAGACAAATCTGATCCTCATTCGAAAAGAGAAATGAAGAGTCTATAAAGTGAACAAGCGAAACTTTTGCTTCTTTGGCTCGACTTTCTGAAAACATGCTTCGTAACAGCTTGAAGCTTCGACTTCGACTTCAACTTGTATTCTCAAGCTATGAAGAAGTTGTAAGATCATTAATTATCATCTTAAATGATAAACGCTAAACTAGCATACAGAAGTACGAAAAGCATAATTTTTCAACAAATCAAAGGGTGAAATTTTTCACTGATTTATAATCAAAATTCCACAACTAATTAACGTAGGGCTTACCAGGAAGATTTTTCTCTAGAATACTCCACTCTTGCTGAATCTTCTTCACCCACTTGCGATTATTGGTAGGCTGCAAGCAGTGAAGTCAATACTTCAATAACTCTTCAAACAAGCAGTTGACGGAATCTACTTATGTTCACTGAGTAGCCTCGCAAAACTCACGTTGAGGGATACTGAGATGGAAATGAAAGAAAAATAAGGGATTCCCAAACTGCTTCTGCTAGACTTGTTCTAATCACTGGCTATAGCCTTCTGACGCCAAAGTAAAACATCAGTCACGCAATTCTTACAAACTCTTCTTTAACAAGGCTCGAAGCGTATAAGAACGTATCCAGCTTTCTCTACTAAATATAAACTGTCTCGGTGTTCTTCATCGACAGAATGCTTGCCTCCACTCTCAAAGTCCGATCTTGACAACAGATTCTACAATTCATAGACGATTAAATTATCTGAAAATCGAGACCATAAACGGGGTCTCAATCCCATTGCGTTGAGGTATAAAAGTTTTGAAATTGTAGTAAAAGGAGATATTGATTGCCTGTGCGGTCTCGCCAACGTAGTGATGATCGGCTGGATCTTTGACGCTGTCAAAATGCTTAATTTTTTCCGAGTTACTTTCAGCCTTCACAAAGTCATCCCCATCAGGAGAACTGTTCACAGCATTTATGACATCTGCTAACGATTGAGTCTGCTCATCCTCCAGTGTTGTGAAAGAGTCTGCAAAAGCACTGGAATTCCTGTCCTCAGAATCAGCATCTGTAGCCGTATTCGAGGCTGCCATGTCCAGCTCTTGATCTTCTCTATCGACTGGATTCAAAACAGTATCGTTGAACATTCGTAAAGCATCCCTCTTACAAGGGGCCACACGCTCAACCACACGCCTCTTCGGTGACTGCGGTACTTGCTCTTCACTCCCAGCACTTATCTCCTCATCGAGGATTTCCTCAAGGCCATGCTTTACCCTGCCTTGGGAGCTTGAAGCCCTCGCGACACCTGCGGAGTCAGCACCTTTCTTAGATCCCCTCTGACCCCACCATCCTGCGGCAAATCGTGAGACAAGGCCGAACGCTACTAGAGGCAATTTGAAGGGACCTCCGTACTTTTGAGGCCGGTTCTCGACTTGACCTCGTTCATCTGTAGCCAAATCTTTGCCACCAGCATCTGCCAAAAGCTCAACTGCCTCATTCCCTTGACCGTTGTCTTGAGATTCAGCAACCTCGTCATCCCAAGCAGGCCTCTCTTTATCTGTCCATGCTTCTTCTTCCTGGCATAAGAAACAACTCGCCGGGACATTCAAGTTACAAATTCCAAATCCTGAGGTGATTCAAAGAAGATAGACAACTTCGAGACTGATAGGGATATACTCCAACTCCCAAGATTTCGACAACAGATGCTACCCAACACCGCATGCCATCTAGTAAAATCCGTGGTCTCAAAATGATGAAAACGTACCACAATATTATTTACTTGCTTCATGGACTAAAAACAAGATAATCTGGCAGGTCTGGCAGCTTATTGCCCACCTGTTCTATTCTGGTCAACTCGTCATCAGAAAGAACTGTCTCCCAGCTAGCAGCATCATCTACATCTTCCGCATCTTCAAGATCACTGGTGTGGGCTGATGAAGAATCTTCTAGATCACGATTGACTACTAGAATCGCCTGAGGCCCTACCTACAACAGGGATAAAGTAAGGAAACAATCAATAATCGTCAAATGATCCGAGGCTGGCAGATATACATTTTTTAAGATCAGAATTAAATCAACATGTAAACTTTCCTTCAGCCATTCTTATAAATCTAGTTGCTTGTAATCGATTCTAGTCACGCTGTTATTGCCGATACTGGTTAATGTCTTTCAACTTTGTCTTTACATTCTTTAAGCCATAGCGACCACTGGGAAAGGTCCGGCGACGTAGGTAGGAATGATGGGCTACCGTGACAACACATTTGAAAGACCACAAGTTGTGGTTGCGTATGCTTAACACCGATTTGGGAACAAAAAACTTCACCAAATGCTCTAAAAAGACATGGCTGCGGTACAAATGTCAGCTCAAGCTGTTTCAGCTGATGATACATCCAACTACGTAGGTTAGAACCCTGGTTGTTCATTAAAGACTAAGAACAAATGTATTGCAACAAAAGTCTTGGGCACAAAATCCTCTGTAAAAAACCAGAAACCAACCTTTGAAACCATTCCATCGGCCCATGCAACTTCGATGTCTCCATCTTGAAGCCCTGTAATTACTCCAACCCATGACAAATCCTGATTTACAACCTTGCTTGAACGACCTTTTCTTTTGGCACTCTGCTTTAGAAGCTTATCAGATGATGATCGAGAAGTACAAGCCTCATTCTCATCTGCGTCCACCTCAGAGGTTTCTTCTACTCCAGATGAAACAGCAGCGTCTGACTCATCCATGAATGGCGTTTCATCAGATGCCATAGGTGAAGGTGTCAGTCTAATAACTACATCGCCTAGGCAATAACTATAATCTGGATGTTCAACGAGCTCGTAAACACTCACGACTTCCTCTGACTCAAACTCTCGAGGTTCTTCGGGTCTTTGAACAATTTTCAACCAGCGAACAGTGGCAGTCCTCTGTTTTGCATCAACACTTTTGACAATACCTACTCGTCTAGGGTCCACGTCTAAACCTTCCCCATCTGCTCCTCTTTCCATCACGTACTGCTCTGGCCAAAAGTCATGATCCCCTAAATGATCAACTGGAATAAGAGAACAAGCATCCAGACCCTGTGATACTGTCCCATCTTGCCAAACAATATCAACAGTTGTCCGGGTGTTAACCACCAACACGGCATACTCGACAGGTTTTTCCTTTTTCTGCACCTTCTTATCACGCTTAATTGGCCTCCTCTGCTTACTCTTCCGTCGATGCGTACCCCAAGCATCCTTACATCCTTCAGCAGATCCACAAACGACGTCTACAGTTTCAGGACTGCGGGCAGCATTGTTCTCAACTGAGGATTCGGCTTCACCATCTGAAGGAATTACATCCGTTGTGGGCTCCAAAGGAACGACACTTTTAGGACGCATTCGAACCGGAGGTAACGATCGATCTCCAAGCTGCCAATTCGTATGTGAAAAGTATATCATGGGCAACAATTTTTTCGCATCCTGCTCCTCATTGGGAACAGACGATGAATGAGAATTGGAGAGCGCATTCCCAGCAGCAATCCAATAAACTAACACTGACCCTGCCTCGACATCTACGACGACACCCTCCATCCGACTAACCTTCCAGCTTCCTTTCAACCATTTGGCATTTTTGAAAACCGAAGATGATGTGCAACGAACTCTCTGACCAGGGAAATATGGGCATCCTGAGTCATCAATCACACTTTCGGTATAGGTAACCAAGCGGTCCGGGTCGGCTCTGAGAACCTTGCACTTTGCCCCGTCGTCAAACATTACCGTGACATTATCTACAACCTCGTCTACGCGCCCAAGCCACAAGTCATGAATCACGTAATCTCCTAGAGCAAAAGCCCGTACACGGCGCAACCTCCTGCTATTCACATCTTTCATGATCTCGCCATTAGGAAGCTCCAAATCTACCCTCATCTCAACGTCCACCACTGTTCCTGTCTGCCCCAACGGATCATTTGCCTTCGCCACAATATCCCCGTGCAAAAACGCTCGATCCACCACTTGAATGTCCCCTAGTTTCTCCGTTGATTCTTCCGAATTAATCCAGCACACTCTTGCAGAACCCTCCGTGACCTCGTCCTCTCCCCCGTCTTCCTCTTCCTCCTCCTCCTCATCCTCACTCTCTGAACTATCCTCGCTATCCGAATCTCCGCCAACTTTTGACACCACTCCAATCAGAGAAGGCTGTGCCAGACGCTGAACGACGTCTTCTCGAAACAATTGCACTTCTGCCACGCTCCTTCCTTCCACCATTCCCCTAACCCTGCCTCCTCCTCCGCCAGCCCCTCTCTCCATCCCTTTCCCCTCTCTCTCTCTCTCTCTCTCTCTCTCTCTCTCTCTCAAATTCCCCTGCCCTCGTGCAATTCACACAAATCAACACTCACGTAACCAGAAACGAGGTTTTCCACGAAGAATTTCACCGGGAGCTCTTACCACAATTCTTCGCATCAAATTTCTCGATCAGATCTCTCGCACCGGCCCACCTCTCCCTTCTGCTCCTCCCTCGGGAATACGTTCCTTACTTCCAATTTGTAATCAACATGGGGCGAGGGTTTCGGGCAACCGAACAAAAAGTAGGGTTCTGGTAATTTCCCCGCTCTGTAGTTTGGTTTATTGTAGCGGGTAAACTACACGCTTACAAGGTAGGATGAGTTTTATAATTTGTACATTGGAAAGGCAGGGATGTGGTAGTAAAATACGAAGACTACTGCTTCGGCCAAAGCCGACGAGCCAAGTGTCGAATAGAGGGCTAGTCTGAACGTCGTGCCCATAAAATGAAGGCCACTAATTGGTTGAAATTCACCGAATTGCTCCTTTCGTTCTTTTTTCTGATTTCCAGCCTCCTCTTTCTTCTGTTCGAAATTCGCCTTGGTAGGATAATTGATTCTATATCTAAGGTAGAATTTATTATAATTTTAAGAAGTCTTTTCATTTTCCAACTAATGGAAAAGTATACCTGTATATCCAGCAATCAACCCCATTAGATAAAAATACATGCTTCATACCACAGCATCCGAGGAGATTTCAAGTTGTGTCGAATTGTTTGATTTCTTCATTGTGACAGAGACAGTTTCCAATTATAGGAAAAAAATTCCTCTACTGTAAAACATGTAGAATCGATGATAAAATTGGCAAGAGAAATCTATATCGAGATCTTAAATCATCACATTCATTTCAGAGAATAACATTTTTTTTCCTTTATTAGTTTAATATTTTCCTCGAACGAAGTAGTTCTTGCCTTGGGATGTGTGTGTACAAAGATTGATAATATATACATACTAGAAGCTCATGAAAAATGGAAGAGAAAGCAGCGTGTGAGAGTCCAAGTGGATAACATTGTCAATGTCAATCAAGAAGTTAGAGCAAAATACACAGTAGAAAGCAATAGTTATAAAACATTGATCTTATGATGAAAAATACTTTAGCTATAATATTCAAATCAAATTATCCACAAACACGTGTTTTGCTCTCTTTATGTAAAACCATGAAAGCAAGTTTGTCATTATAAATAGTATCATAAAATAGAAGAAGTTATAATTTTATTGACACACTATAATAAATCCTTGTGCATTTACTCTCAGACATATGAATTTTGCATAATGTGCTACATATAATTTTAATGCAAAGAAAAAATAAATATACTAAATAGTATGATTGAAAACCTTGAATACTGCATCGATACTAGCTCATCTGCAAAAAAGATGAAAGTATGTCACAATAAAGATCACTTACTTAATTCCAATTTGATAATATTCAATCAAGTTTAGCTAGATGTCAACCACGATTCACATTTATCTAATATAAATATTTTCATATGAGTTATGTATTTAAAAATATCAAACATCCAATACACCAGTTCATTCATAATTTTGTAGACAATGTTATCAATCAAGTTAATCATTTCGACTTCTTTGCTCTTATACAAGCTTTGAAGTAAACAATTTTGAACTTAAAAAAATAAAAATCATCCTATTAATATCTAAAATTCATATAATGTCATGGATTATTGAATTAGATTGTCATTTTGAATAGTTTAAAATTTGTATAACATGTAGTTTGTATAATAACTCAGTCACACAATTTAAAAATCAAAATTAAGATTGATTGATATATGAATATTTTTATTGCTACAAACAAATTTACATGATATAGCTTAAACGAAATCCTTTTTTAAGTAAGAAAACTCTAAATTATTAAATCTACATTACTGCATGCATTTTAGACTTATGATTATGATAAACTTATCATTATGTTATGCAAAAAATGAATGGATGCATTGTTTGAATCATGTTAAATCTAACAATATTTTGAAACATAGTTAAATTTTCAATTTAGCATGCAAATAATTTAAAAAAAATATTTTTTAATTTATTGTCAATTTTTGATCAATTAAGATACAAGTACATGTAAAATATATGAATCTCTATGCATTTTTTACAAACATTTTAAAAAAATTCAAGTAATATGTTATAAATCACAAAACAATAGATATATACATATATTTTCTTTATATCTTTGTAACTAAAGTTGCTGAGACTCAAGTTAAACCACATCTAGATGTTATCAACATTGCACAATCACACAGTAGAAATTTTCAAGAACTTAAAGATCAAGCCAATCTATTACTTCAAATACAAAAGACATGTGAGGTGAAAGTATTCAAAGGGAGTAAAACAATGAACAAGTTGAAATATTAGATCATGAAAATAAATATAGATTTGATTCATATATTTGATTTTATTTCATAATTATTTATGACATATTATTTCATGAACAAAGCTCTCACATGTTTACATTATATGGAAACAAATTCTACCAAAACAATGTGCTCTAATCTTGTGAAGTGAAAAGCAAACAAATTGTTGATTATCTTTAAAGAGCAAGAATGACATTATGTAATTAAAGAAAAAATAGATATTCACACATACATTGAAGATTTTGTTTTTTTCAAACTATACATCGTACATATGATCATAGCAAAAATTAAAATTTGAGACGATACTTAAGCTAGTTTACCATTACCACTATTAAAAAAACTTCAATTAAACAGTTTATCGTTTAACAACGGTATGGAACTAGCCAAGTTTGCTGTGGTAGTGCAGTTTTTTTGTTTTTTCAAAATTAGAGTAGTTAGGAAGGAAAATTCATGCAAGTTTTAACTTTTGAGGTAGAAGTAATTAGAATAGAATAGAATAAGACTTTTTACTATAGAGCCTAAGTAGTAATAGGAAGTACGAAGGATCGTCAGGAGAAGAGCTTGGCCTACGGAGGCCGATGAGATCCTAATCCGAAGCAACGGATTAGGAAGACTCAAGTGACGGGAAGACGGGTGAAGACCCAGCTTCTCCAAATACCTAGATCAGTATTCGGACATGGGTATTTGATATTCGGAAATGACGCCTTCGGAGTTATCTCTGAAGCCCCTTTGGCGAAGGATCCCTAGCGAAGTAAAATATGGCGCCGCACGGGAAAGAAAATTGAATGGTGGCACTTTCAATTTGCACGAGTTGAACCTACCATTGCAACGGCGGGGTACACCTCAGGGGATGCGAGCTCAGCTCCCACATTTCACGACCACGCTATCGCAAATCGACGAGAGACTGTGGTGCGGAAGCTCAAGCGAGAGAAAACAACTATGGGGCGATCGATTCGATTGACCACACTTAGAGTTAACGAGTCAGGCTTGAGAGATTATCGTGGTAAATTGATTCTTGCAAAGATGGACTTTTTGCTTTGGGGTTAGAATTGGGTTTGTGCATCGATGGTGTAGGAGTGGAACAACGATGGCGCACCGAAGCCACCGGGGTATCGAGGAAATTATGAGACTTGACAAATTTGGAATTAGACAAAAGTTTTGAGGAGTTGCGCATGAGATAATGGCGACCTTACCTTTGACATTGAGAGTGTAAAGGTAACGCGAGCGGAAGAGAAGTCATATGCGGCTTTATTTAAGAACGTGTGCACCAGCAAGAATGGATATCGGACCATTGGGTATCACGATCGTTTCAGAAGAAATGTGGCAAGGGCGTTAATGCATATCCTTCGACCTTCTCGGACCACGTACATGATGACTTAGCAAGTTGGGTTCATGGAATAAGCATTGGACGCGAATCCTCTAGACTGCCACCCGACAACACATTGCAGTACTTCCAGAAGAATCAGCCAATTACCTGTACTCGTTCTTGATTAAGTTCTATAGGGGGATGGGGCTACTGACTGCTGTAGAGCGAAGGGAGTTTCCGATGCGAACTCACTCGCAGGAAGGAGAAGAGGTTGTAAGTGCCAACAAAGTCAATATTGATCTAACGACGAGCAAATTAATTCGTTTCCGCAGAGAATAGAACGATTCAAGGACAGACAAGAAGAACGGCCACAGAAGAGAAGGAGGCTTCAGGAGGTCGCCGTGACTGAAGAGCGTGAGCGTAGGACATGTCCCATCAAGCTCTGATTGCCTAATATTCGGGCTAGGTTGAAGGTGAAAGCAAGGCAATTGATATTGGAGTTGAACAACAACACGAAGAGCGGAGCTGTTGCATTGCAAGGACGTCCCAATCCAGAAGAGGAAGTAGAGTTGAACGTAGCGACTGTTGTGAGAGAGAAGGAAGTGCCAATGGTGAAGAAACTTCAGACTTTTGCGGTGAGCCCTACTCTAATAGTGACACGCCGGACCACAAGGAAGGAGAAAGTTAAGGCTATTATGACGGAGGAAATGACTACATGATGAGATCAAGTTCCTTTGTTAAAAGTCATGATGAGAGTTCCTTTAGAGAAGCCAGACGAAGTACTGGCAGTGTCATCGGACACCGAAGATTATCATGTGGCCCTTGAGAAGATTGCTCAGAGGGTAGTAGAAGACATAGTAAGAGAGACTGCTCCACCGCAGCAGGTGGCAAAACCTCGGACGTCCACAAGGACGTTCATATTGAAAACGGATGAGGATTCTTCGACGGAGTAGATAGAGTCAGAAGGACTGAATGCCGCGAACGTTCTGTGTGGACAGGTGATCCCGCTACTCCGGTATATCAAGTTTGAGAAGTATGCGGGTACCACCAACAACGTATCTTACATGGAGTTAGTGCGGAATAGGACGCGGACAAAGGTGGCAACGACTTCCGCAGCGAACGAGCGGTAGTTATAGGAGACCGAGGCGAAGTACGAGGTACTTCAAAAAAGATTGGCCAAAGAAGTTGAGTTACAAAGGACTTCAAAAATGACATGTGAGAGTCTTCGTGAGGACATTGAAGTCACCAGGTCTGCGATATTCAATCTTCGGATAGACTCGAGGCATCTTGGATAGCTTTCAACGCCGAGTCGCAACGGGTAGACGAACTAACTGCGGCATCGGAGAAGAGGAAATAGGCGCATGCAACAGAGTTGACGGCAAAGGTGAAGGCTTTGGCAAAGTGTGAAGCTGCGCGGATCTCGCGGAACTGATAGAGAAGTTGGAAGCCAAATGCAATGAGTTGAGATCTCAGCAATCGTAGGCCGAGAAGCAGTTATGTGA